GTAGTGGCTGTCTGGGTGCTCTCACCACTTTGATGGGTCTCAGGGAAGTGATGCTGTCGCTTCTCCGGCTGTTGGTCCAGGAGTCCCAGCGGGGGTACTCCCCCTTCTCAAACACAAACTGCTCCCCTTTGCAGCTTGCCTGCTCGTAGCCCACCCAGCTGGAAGAGAGCAGGGGACGCGCTTCAGAGCGGGCAGAGCCGCGGGGACCGGCCCCTGGCAGCGCCCCCGGGCTGAGCCCCAGCCGTGTCCCCTGCTCGCCGGCAGGATCSGAGAGGTGCCAGCGGGGACAACCGGGGCTGCGGTGCCTCCAGCCATCCCGAGTGTCTCTGCTGCCCAGTGGGGATGCTCCGGCCTGGTGGCCACCCGTCCTTGGTCCCCGGGGACCCTCAGGGGGACGGGATCACCCAAGTGTCCCAGCCGGGGTTGTGCTCCTGCCAGGGCGCTCTGCAGCTGCCCCGTTGTTCTGCGAGCAGCAGCATTGCTGGGTTTAGGCAGGGAAATCTCCAGGGGCTTCTCGGGGCTCTCCCTTGCCCCGAGCCCGTGGCTTGGAGGGCACACACTGGGCCAGCAGGTGGGGAGAGGGCACCAGGAGGGCACCCTCACCTGTCCCTGTACCCAAAGGGAAGCAAACCAAACTGGGGGTAACGCCGTGATCTGTGCCCACAGCCTCACCCCTCCGCTCTCCCCGCCACTGAGTGGGGTTTTCAGCCTGTCCAGGCGACGCTGTCACCCCCGTTCACCCCCTGTGTCCCCCAGCTCACCTGCTGGCACCCCCTGGCACTGGGCACCCGCCGGGGTGAGGAGGGCGAGCAGCTCAGCAGTGTCGGCCACGTCAAATCCGGGGTGTGACAGAGCCGTGGCAGCGGGGAGACCCCCCCTCCCCCTCCCCAACCCTTCCCTCCAGCACCCCCGCCCCCCAGACCCCTCACGTACGGTCCGGAGTGCACCAGGATGGAGCCCACTTTGTCCACGCCGGCTTCCTTCAGGTTGGGGCAGGCCCCGCTGAGCTCATGGCAGCGGCCCTGGAAATTCTCCTGCTCGAAGATGGCAATCTGCAAGAGAGCAGCAGCTCAGCGCGGGGGTCACCCACCCCTGCCCCACCCCAGGGGCACACGGTGACCCCCGACACGGGGGCAGCGCATCTGCAGCAGCACAGAGCTCTCCTTCTCCCAAAAATGCGCTCCCATCCATCTCATCCAAAAAATGAGGTTTTTAAGGAGCCTGAAAGTGCAAGCCACTGCTCCCATCCCTCTGAGAGTGCAGGTTTCACTCACGGGTACCCACAGAGCCCTGACRGCGCTGTCCCRGTGCCCTCCTGGCAGAGGGATGGCCACGCTCACAGCGGGCATCAAACAGCTCAGGGTTTGCAGGAGCACCGCAGGCACCAGCGGGACACGGCGACCCAGACAGCTCGGGGACAGCTGGGGGACAGCTCGGGGACAACTGGGGGACAGTTCGGGGAGAGCTGGGGGACAGCTCAGGGACAACTCGGGGACAGCTCGGGGAGAGCTGGGGGACAGCTCGGGGACAGCCCCAGGGCTGCCATCACCACAGATCTCAGGGGTCAGTGGGTGCTGGGTCAGTTGCTGTGTTTGCAGCCCTGCTGGGGGATCAGCTCTCGGTCTGTTCCCAMCTGGGGCTGGGGGTGCCAGGAGAACCCCGCTCCCATCCCCTCGTCCTGCTGCAAACAGCTCAGAGCTGCAGCTGGCTGTGCTTGGCACCAGCTGGGGGTGCTGGGGGTGCTGGAAGGGGAGCTCAGCCGCTCCCAGCGGTGTCTCAGGGTACGATTTGGGCACCCAGTGAGGCTCAGGGTGGCCCTGGCCCCTCTGCAGGGCTGGGCAGGCTCGCACTGACCTTGGAGCTGGCTTGTTGCTGCTTGGAGGCTGGCATTTGGTGCTCGGAAGCCATCATCAGCTGGGGTGTCTGCTGCCTTGGGAGGGAAACTCAGCGCGTTAAAATCTGCCCCTGGGGACATTCTGGGGACCGTGCTCAGAGCCCCGTGCTCTGTGTCCATGTCCCCATCTGTACCCTGCAGCTCGCCCAGGGAAGAGGGTGCTGGCACCAGGATGGGTCAGGCTGGGGTTACCAACAGTGACAAACCCTGCTCAGCGCCCCAAACCTCCCCGGGCTGGTGGCAGAGCRCAGGCAATGGTCCTTGGGACCTGCCCGAGGTCTCCAGCCCAGAGGAATTCCTAAATGCCCAGGGAATTCCTAAATCATTCCCAGCGGAGCCCAGCCCCTGCGGCCGAGGCTTTTCCTGCTGTCCCTGTCCAGCAGTACGAGCTGACAGCCCCCGTCCCAAGCGGGTGCTCGAAGGGGCGATGGAGAGAAGCCCCGGGGCTCGCCCCACACCAGCCCCAACCCCGAGRAGCCTCTGCCGAGCCCTCCCGACCCTGCCTGGCACCGCCACTCCTCGGAAGGAGCCCCGTCCTCAAGCCCAGCGGGATCTGAGCAGCTCCAAAACAGGTGGGAACGGCTCATTCCTGACAAAAAGAAGCGGAGCCGTGGCCCGGTGGGGATATCCTGCTCTGGGCCGCAGGGACGGGGCTGTCCCCGGCTCTTCCCGCTGGCACCGGGAAGGGACCCCGGCCCCGGGCATCGGGAGGAGGCTGCGGCAAAAGAGAGGACAATAAATAGCAAAGTCTTACCAGTTATACCAGTACCCGCTTGAGCCAGTGAMGGGCTGGGGCCGGGAGGTGGAATTTATACCGAGCTGCAGCAGAGTGGTGCCAAAACTATTTACAAAATAGTTAAAGCCTGATTCAAAGCGAGAATGCTGGATTAAACCCCAATGAAAACCAGGGTCAGCTGATCCGCCTCAGCCTTTGTCTGCCCGAGCACCAAGCCCGAGTTATTTCATTACCTGTCACATTCGAGTCACCCGCTTTGTCGGCTTGGTGGCGAGGAGATTTGGAGTTTGCAAGCATCAGCCGAACGCGTGCCAAGAGCCGGGGCGGGCTTGGCCAACAAAGCCCCGCCAGCCCCGCTTCAGGCGTTTCGGGGCCAGAGATTTGATCCCCCCGACAGCCCGGCAGCCGCCGCCGGACCTGCTGAGCTCGGCTCTTTCCATGCGCGATAAAACGCCTCAAAAGCGCTGGTGAGCGTCTGGCTTCGCCCGTCTGCCGCCCGGGGAGGGAGCGCCCGCGGCCGCGCCAGCACCGGGGGCACGGCGGGAGACCCTTCCCGACACCGGCCCGGGGGTTTTGGGGATAGTTCTGGGGGGCAGCATCCTGGGACCACCCCGGCAGCACCCCGGGCCCGAGCGTGGGGCACCCAGGTGTTGGGTGTTGGGCTCCTTCCCCGTTACCCCCACCCTTTTGGGGTCTCTGAAGCATCCCAGCCCCACAGGGCAGTGGGAGGGCGGCACAGGGGTCTCTCTGTGACACATTGGGGACAAAGCTGAGGTCACGGGGGGCTCAGCCCGTGGCTGGGGTGTGACGGGGTGGGCAGCACAGCCTGGCTGAGCTGGGGCCGAGTGGCACCGTGCCAGGCTGAGTCAGGGGATGATCGGGGCTGGGGGGCTGCAGCAAGAGGGGGGTCACAGTAGGGGGACACTGCCACACTCCCTGGGCGCTGTGCAGCACCCACACCCCACAGAGGGCTGGATTCCCCCATCACSCAGCAGGAACASACMCCAGACCCACTCCCAGCACCTCCCRGGGGYCCCACAGTGATGGACTGCAGCCCCCCCTCCCCAGGGTCACCTCTGCCCTGTCCCCTGAGCACAGGGTCACCCACAGGGTGGTGTCACATGGGGGGTCAGTCCTGGGGTCAGCAGCTGCCCCCGCTCCTGGCAATGGGGTTTTCAGTGGGGCTGAAGTGACCGCTCTGCTCTGTGAGGATCCCGTGGGGCCAGGGCAGATCTGGGCAGGCCAGGCTGTGCTCAAAAGGGTTTCCAGCATTCCCTCCTGGAGCCCCCCTCTCTTCCCTGTGCCTCCTGCCCCACAGAGGGTCCCAGCACTGCYCTCCCCATCTCCTGGGCTCATCCATTGGGGTCCCGAGCCCTGACCCTGTCCCAGATCCCCCTGCAGGGCCCTACAGCCCCATCCCGTCCCCTGGGCCCCCAGCGAGGCGCTGACACAGCGCTCAGCGCARCTCTTGTGATTCCTTTTGGCTCTGCTGGGCTGGCTTTGGCCCACGCCAGCCCCGGGCAGTGATGGTGCCGCACCCCCCCCCCGGCCCCACGGACTGTTCTGGAAGCGGCTTYTGCCCCTCGGGGCCGAGCACTCGCCTTCCACAGCCAACAACCCCCGCCCAAAGGGAAAAACTCCCGAGG